AATAGGCAATCGTTTGATGGGCTGAATTGCAAAAAACGCATGATCGCACCGGCTAGTCTGGTGCGCGTTGCTATTTATTTATTTACTTTTTTTTTTTGATGTGCTGCAAAGATTTTTGACTGAAACTATGTGTTCATTTCTAGAAGGAGAAGTGGAAAAGTACAGTGCGAATAAGGCGAATTGGCGAAGCGGTGCTGGCTTTCAACTTAAGAATTCAGGAGTCGAGCACAAAGCATCATTAGTAAGTTCGTCGCACAGCTTCGATAAGGCTATTTTTTGACATTTCTGTTTATTTTCGGACTGCTTAGCGAGAAATTTTTTCAGTCGAAGGGCGCAGGTGGCGGCAGTTTAGCAGGTAACGGTGCTGAGCACTCATCGGCGAAAGCACGAATGCATAATAATAATAACAGCCTGCCTGGAGGCTGGCGCTCGAATGATCCATCGTTCAAGTCAAATCATCAAAAAGAAGGCGGCGGCGGCGGCTATGTAAGTGCTTCCTTTTTTAGATTTTCTTTTTTCTTCCAACTTTACGTTGGATTTCTGCAGCGCAACAGATGGTGTAGGATTCGGAGCGTTTTTTTTTTTTTTTTGACGGAACAACTCATTTTCGCTTTATAATGCTCAGATTTATAATGCTTGGATTCATGATAATGTGCATGTGAAAATAATCATGAGAGCGAATATTGATTGTCTGAGCAGCGCAGTAACACTCCTCATCCCCTTGCCCGATGTACTGTGATGTGTATTCACTCGTTGGAGATTAGCTCTGTATTCTTTGATTTCTGTACCTTTCTCGAGACTAAAGATTTATTACGTTGCAGGCGCATGAACAAACCTTTCGCATTGCTTGCCGATTTTTTTACTTGACGGTTTTTTTTTTTAGAAAAACAAAGCATCGGGAAGTGCAATGGATGAAAAAATCCCGGAATGGCTGAACGATGGTCCAAAATCGATGCATGATATGATCGAACTGCGCGGTTTCGACGAGGACAGCTCCAAGAACACTAAATGTGAGTTAAATTTCTAGCGAAATGCTTATATATACCTCTGCTTACGTGGAAACTCTGTCTTACTTTGTCATTTAAATTAAATTATCTCTGTAGCAGCATCGATCAAGCTGACAGTTTGGCCTCGATAAAACCACTCACTTTGCCTACTAGGAATATCAAGACCACCTGGACAGTCGGTGGGGAAGCCGATGTTAGTGGTATTATTAGGACAGTGGCTGCATGTGTGC